ACACACACACACACACACACACACACACACACACACACACACACACACACACAGTATCTTTCTTGAAAATTAATGGTTGTCTTAATTAAAAATTTGTTGTTGTGCGTTATATTTCTTGAAATATGGAAGTTTACAATCTTCATAATATATCACGCGTGTTTAATAATTTTCAATGGATGCACGTCGCTTTCATTGATTCTGATTGAAAATAAACGATTCGTTTGTTTCTTACAAAGTTTTTTTCTGTATAATTAACCACTGAATATAGTTTCTGCATTCTTAAAAATTTCGTAAAAAAATTGAAAATATTAGACAGCTGATTTTTATCCAAATTCACATTTTTGTAAATTATTTGATGAAAGTATGAACAATCGTGTCGACTAGAAAATTAGTTGTAATAGAAACGAAAGAAAAACACAAAACGAAACCAGTGAAATGTCGTTTTGATCGTAATTGAACTATTACAATCGAATCATCAGAGACTTCTCTCTCTCTCTCTCACTCTCTCTCTCTCTCCCCCCCCCCGTTCATTATTAAGAAATTATCGAATTTATCCAGAGCACTAGCTAGTTATAAATAAAAACTAAGTAATGTAGGCGGAAGTGAAAGTCAAGTAATTTCACTATCTTGCAACTCGATAACGTAATCATGTTTTGTCCGTTCAGACTTGAAACAAATTATTTTGTTTAACCCCCAAAAATTCAAAGTATGCAAATATTTTCATACTATATAATCATTTATTTCATCTTCTAATAATTTTAATAAACACCTCCGATTATAGTTGCAGCTTTTTAGATCAAATTCCTAACATTCCGAATTAGTTTTTACAAGTCAAACGCTAAGATTGTGCACAAAAATGGACCATTTTGGAAGAGGAGATACGATTGTTCGAGCCTTGTGGCTCGTTTTTTTTATAGTTACCGATTGTCAACAGCTATAAAAACGAGCCGCGAGGCTCGAATAATCGTATCTCCTCTTTCCGAATTGTCCATTTTTGTGTACAATCTGAGCGCCAATTAGGGAGAATTTATTGTACCTTTTTAACTTAAAGATTTGGCATAAAGAATAAATAAAAAAACTTAACTTATTATTGCTAATATTCACATTTCTATTTAAATATTGACTTAATAAAATTCTTGTTAAGTTGAGATAATTTCTTAATATCTATTTTGACTAAATTTTTATTTTAATTGAATTCT